GGTGAAAGAAAATTTCATTTAAACAAATCAAAAACCAAATTTGTGTCTATCGGATTATCATATGATTTTAATTATGAACCCTACGTAAAACTAAGTGGAAATAAATGTGATGCTTTAATGTTCAACAGAGAAGAATGGAAATGTTTTCTTGCATATCAAGGAATTATAACAAATTACTTCTATAACAATATTTCCATTGATCCCGTAGAAGACGAAAAATTTCATATAGAGTTTGTAGAAGTGCAAAATTCTCGAGTTGTAAAGATTTTGAAAAATAATTCTTACATATACCTGGGCTATGAAACTATATGCAATTTATGGGAATATATATCTATGATCGAGTATCGACTGGATATATTACAGAGATTACAGTTCCCCAATTACTTTATGATTGTACAAAAAGGGTTGCAGAGTCAAGCTGGAAATATAATTGAAAATGCAATGAATTTACTCCAACCGTCAAAAAATCGAAATAGTGAAAATGTCTCCATGATTATGGAATTAATTTATTTGTATCCAAAAGTATTTGAAGCTGAGTGTGGTCGTAATGAAGAAAGTTACATTTAATGAAAAAGAAAATAAAATACACATCCTTATAGCCTGGCCGTTTGCATATAATGAATCTAGGAAGAGATACTGGGAAAATTTTGCTAGTGATAGAGAGCGTTTCCAAAGAAAAATAGCTAAGCTGTCAAATATTATAAATCCTGTATTAGATAGTAGTCACAGACATAAAATATATATTAAAAGATTTTGTTAATGTGTTTCCTAATAAAAATGTATTGTTAGATTGCGTTTTATTGAAATGAAACAAATATTTATTATTTATATTTTATTAAAAATTAAACGGGTTACAAAAAGTATCAAATAAAAAATATGCATTTGAAAGTGCACAAATACAGTAATTTTCACAATGATAAAAGCATTTTGGTGTATCTTTTTGTAATGCAGGTTGCTCTGGTAGTTCAACTACAGGAATTTGAACAAACTTCCTGATGTACTTCGCCTTTTCCTTCCCTTTTACATAAATAGTATCAGTTGGATTGGGCATGTGTTGTACAATATTTCCAAGCTTGTATAATGGTACGAATCCTTCGTTCCAGTCGAGTCCATGATGATTTTTTGTCAGCCATAGCGCACGCTTCTGAGACTGTGGTGACAACATATTGAACGGAAAGGGTGCTTTAAACAAGTAATGAAACATCTTCTCTCCATCAAAAGCAGCTAGTTCTTTAACGATAAATTTATTGTTTTCAATTTTGAATCCTTGAAAGTCTAATACTAATGTCATATTTTTAAGTTTTCCAACTGTTTCAACACATATATTTTTAAATAATATAAATCAATTTCTCTTCTTAATTGTTTAAGCTTTTCTATGAACTCTTGCAAGGCTTTTCTATATCTGAAGATCATCGTGTACTGTTCTTATATACACGTTGTTACGGTATAAAACCTGTTTAACCGGTTATTAAACCTGTCTAACAATTTTTGTCAGAGGATTATAGCGGAATAATCTGTCATGTAAAATTAAGCAGTACGCAGTAGTGTCTTTATCCACGTTTTCGCTTGTCTCAAATTCAATCCGCATTGCAACAGATCCACTTTGCACCGTCTCTTTCTGTCGAGAGCAATCTATATGCACAATCGGGCAAATAGATGAAAATTCGTCGGGTGTGTAAACAGGTTCTTTCGTTGTTTCATAGTAAGATGCTCGAAAATTTGAAAACATCTCATACAGAGAAGCAAGCTTCTTAGCCTTAAAATTTAAATAAAGATCTTGATATGGATATCTCTCGCTATTTAAAAATACTCGAATATTGGTCAAGTTAATGTTGTCAAACCAACTCATATCACTTGTAATTTTTTGTTTTCTATTATGCTGAAATGCGACGACTACGTGCCTGGGTGTTTCAAGCTTATTACTTGTTTTTACGGACCATGAATGTTGGGTCGTCTCACTTAAAGATGGATATTCAATCAGTTCCCAACTTCTAAATGGAAGCAGTATTTCAGTATTTTTATCTAAAATTTTTGTTAGGGCCAGTTGTTGAGGAATGCCCACTGAAACGTGTGGAACTCTCCAAAAAATTTTATTAATTGTAACTTTAGGTTTTTCAGTATCGTCTGCACCGCTGATAGCATCTAAGTCATTATTAGTGCGAATCAAAACTAATTCTTGTTTCATATTTAAAATAATTTTTTTATAGTCTTCAAAATAGCCCATTAACATATTAAGTGGAATGCAAACGTTAAAATTTCCATCATCATCTGTAATTTTTTCTCCCAATTTATGTACTTTTGGAGACCAACCAGCGTTATGAAGTTTAGTACTCTCGCTATCGCTGTAAGACAAATAGGCTTTAAGTGTTGACGTTAATCCTACATTTCTATTGGTGTCGACTGTGACTCCATTTAATTCATAGCGAATTTCTCTAAACAAGAAAGCAACACCATTATTAATAAATCTTAATTTTGTAGCCTTAGTTCCATCCTCTTTTGTTAATTTTCCCTCAATATATAAATGGCTTTCGGAAGGAAGTGTATACAGATCAACCTCTTGGATAGGAATTCTAATTTCATCATTATATTCGAATGATCCGGACACAGATGGTTGATAACTATGTAATTCAAAATTTGTAATTGAGTTATCAACAAAGGGTCTTGATGTCACGTTTAAAATATCCATTATATGAGTACTTCAAAACCTAACGATTTTAAGAATAGTTTATTTTCAGATGTTACTTTAGTAACGTTCTCTTTCGGACTAACTAAATATTTGCCTTTTGACCTTCTTTTATAACTACGCTTGGTCACAACACTTGGTGTATGATAAGGTATATTATAGCGAACGACCATATTCTATGAGAGCTTCTTTAAATGTAGTCTGACTGTGATGATTTCTTCACGAAAATTGACAATTTTTCCGTCTTGATCAAGCACTTTAACACTTATAGTATTGATCGTCTTAACAGATACTGGGAAATAAAGAATATTTTGTGGTGTTTCCACTATTTTATACCCCGACGCAACAGTTGGAAAAAATTGATGTATTATATGTACAGGTTGTCCGTTGGAATATGATCCCACAGCTATATTACAGTCTATGCATATAGCGTTAACCTTAATTATTTGCACCGGAGAATCAGATATATTTATTTCATTCGCTTTAAGAACTCTCTTGTGAAAACCTAATAGACGACCTATTGAATTGTCCGAGGTAAAGTCAATGTCAACATTAGTATCAATCCTCACAGTAGATGTATTACGATTTGGTATTATATTTATCTCATTAGGAGTTTGAATGTTCATTTGAATATAATCATTAAGATCAGTAATTTCATAAGCTCCAGTAGGTATTGTTAAAGTGGTGTTACCATATTGTAATTTATTGTTAGTTTCATCGATGTTTGGAATAACGTTGAATGTTTCAAAGTTAGATAATCCAATAACATAATCAGTGCAGTTTGTTGAAGCGTTTAAACAAAGAAACTAGTATTGCATTACCACCTCCAAGAGATATTCGGCGGGGGTATATTGAATTTATATTTAACATTCAATATAACTCGGCTGTGCATTCAGTTCAGTTCTGATCTTCTAATAACTAACTAAAATGACTTCAAATAAAGTTAACTTGGGTTTGAAGAGAGTGAGTGCCAGTGACAATGAAGAAACTGATGACGAATGGGAGGCGTCTTTCGACCGTAGAGTCGATAATAATTTTATTAGTAATCGGGCCAAGGAAGCTGTACTGATGGGCAGCATCATTGTTTTGGATGACAGCGAGACATCCGATCACACCGTTCAGCTAGAACGGCCCTCTTCTCCACCACCTTTAAAGAAGAGGAAATCCTCGTCGCCGCTACCATCACCATCGAGGCAGCATGCTGGAGGCGAGGGGCCATCAACTAAAATTATAGCCTACTACAGCTCTACGGTGGAACGAGCCATCGACGACGATGTACCGACCTTCCGCACGGCCATCACGTCAACCCCGAGAGGAGTCGATGACAGCATCAGCTCCGATACCACCGTTGAGCTGGAACAACCCTCTTCTCCTCCGCAGCCTTTCAAGAATGTGCAATCGTCGCCACAAATGTCGGGACCATCATCTCCAACGAGGCAGCATGCTGGAGGCCCCGTCGTGGAGGGACCATCATCTCCAGTAGCCTGCTGCAACTCTACGGTGGGCCGACCCATCGACGACGATGTGCCGATATCAACCCCGGGACAAACCGACGGATTGGATATCGACTTGATACGGACGGATCGAGTCCAACAACATATCCAATTCGAGGAGTTTAAAACTGTCTGGTACGGCGGTTTCAAAGAGTGCCTTAGAACAAAGGAAAACGAATTTAAAAACGAAATTAAATTTAGGCGTGAATCTACTAGGAAAACCTTGGAAAAAGTGAATGCCTACCGAAGGGTACTCGATGAAATCGCCGAGGGGTTGAAGGCTGACATGAAGAGTATGGACGACTCGCTACTCTACATAGTTGGTTTTGCGGATACGTTACCAGAGAGGCTGTTCAACTTACCAGGTAAGACAAATAAGTTGTAGATAGATAATAATCAAACTTAATGGTTCATTTATGTTTAATTGTTAAAAGTAAAATTGAACTAAATATAAATTTAAAATATTTTTGATGAATTGGTTTTGATTGTATAAATTTTTATGTATAATTATTATAGTATATATTTTAAATTTATTTATTTCTGTTGCAGATGGCCCTCCCCCTCCCCAGGCTGACTAAGACATTTTAGTGATAGTGTTAGTGTTAATTTTAATTTAATTTAACTTAGTTTGTAAATATCTGTATATATTTTAGAACGTATTTTTTAAATTTAACTCACTTTTGTAAATATGTATATATTTTAATTTCTACATATATAAAAATTTAATATATGCTATTTATTTATTTCTTTCTTTTATTGATCCAAAAATATTGGAAATAATAACTACCTAATACTTTTTATCATTTATTATCCATTTAATTTTTACAAATTATAAAATATTTTTTGAAAACAGTTCATATCAATAAAACTTACTATAGTACTTATTAAATTTAAACATAATAGGAAATGTATATATTTTAAGTTCTACTTATATAAAAATTTAATATATGCTATTTATTTATTTCTTTCTTTTATTGATCCAAAAATATTGGAAATAATAACTACCTAACACTTTTTATCATTTATTATCCATTTAATTTTTACAAATTATAAAATATTTTTTGAAAACAGTTCATATCAATAAAACTTACTATAGTACTTATTAAATTTAAACATAATAGGAAATGTATATATTTTAAGTTCTACTTATATAAAAATTTAATATATGCTATTTATTTATTTCTTTCTTTTATTGATCCAAAAATATTGGAAATAATAACTACCTAACACTTTTTATCATTTATTATCCATTTAATTTTTACAAATTATAAAATATTTTTTGAATACAGTTCATATCAATAAAACATACTAGAGTACTTATTAAATTTAAACATAATAGGAAATATAATAAACGATCAGTTTTATTAGAACACATTTCTCCTGTTGTATTTCCAGCTGATAGTGCTTTATTTGTTGCCGTTTTAGGCTTAACCATTTTTGAATAACATATTTCTTTAATTAGTTTCGCATATGCACAATTTTTGCTATATGTCAAATGGTCTTTAATTGCTACATCCCCTACTTTCCATTTATAAATTTCCAGATTACACCAAAAACATCGCACAATATCACTCTCGCCTGTGTAATAGAAACCAGCCAAAGCGAGTTCTGCAGGATCTACATTACCAGTGAATTCTTCGAACGACAATAAACGTTCGTCAAAAGTATTGTATGAATGATAACAATATATACCATTCAAGTCTTCAATACACATTTTATTGTGACTTAGATGCGATTCAATTTAATATTGCTTTTTTACTGATGGTAGTAGCAACTTACGGTATATATATATACAGTTTTGAAAAGGGGGGAGGTAAACATATACAAATTTAACATATATAAATATATTTATAAATTAAATACAAATTGACTAACTTATACAACTTGAAGAAATCTTTAATTTATTTCTTAAAATTTGTTGTTCTTCCTTGAGGCACCAGCAAATTCTAAAGTGTAATTCTTCGTTAATATATGTATAACCAGTGTCTTCACACAGAAATGTTACTTTATCCATACACATACTACAAATATTATTCCAATAATATTTCCCTGTGTCATCACAAACTAAACATCTTTGCTTCATACAGATATTTGTACTGAGGCATTTACTACATACATTTCGGCAAATTCCAAAATTAGTATTCTTTAAAACTTCACCACACTTTACACAAACCTCACCATTAAAAAATCGTTTCTGGGGTTTCTGAATTTCCACGGGATTCAGTTTTCTACATCCACCACATAGGCCGGAAAAGCAACTAAAATCATTTATAAACCATGCCCTCCAGCAATTATGACAAACTCTGGCGTCATCTCTTCTAAATGGGAAAGCCACAACTTTTATTTTTTTATCCCAAGCTTTTGGAAACGGCATTGTAAACACTAAAGCAAAGCATATATATCTTACTACTTATATAGGTTTACCGTCTAAACTCGATATTTAACTATACAAAAATGTTAAAGTGGCTTGGCATGTTACGCTGTGTACGTGTATGTTGTGAGCCGTGAGCTCTGTGTTTATTGACAATTTTTAACTATATTGAGACGCTTATTTAATTAATATATCTGACATACCAGTTACATATAGCACATGCAGTGTGTGGACATTTGATTCAGTTACTGCATAAGTTGTACAAATCAGTAAATTACTGCTTTTTACAAATTTCTATAACAGTATATTCGCCATTTGGACGTAGTGCTCACGACAGTGTCGTACTCTGAGTGGGATACCATTGGAGCGCGATACATGTTTTACATCCATAAGCGCTTATGATAACATAACTATGACTAATTGTGCTAAATGTGCCCGTGAGAAGAACGACGGATTTGTTAGATGTGAAGGGTGCTGTAACAAATGGTTTCACTATTCCTGTGCAGGACTCTCCAATACTGAATTTTTGATGTTGACCTGTGCAGGACTCTCCAATACTGAATTTTTGTTGTTGGCAAAAATTTGTTTTACTTGTGCCCAGACTGCAAAATCAAATGTAACATCGTACAGAAAACATCAGTTGCTGCTTACACTGAAAATCTTGAAACAATCCACGCAGCGGTCTCAAAGATAAGTACTCATTTACACGAAAAAATTGATTCTGTAGTAAACAACTTCACACTTATCGTCGATAATTTAAAGTCAGAAGTCTTTAACTTTATGAAGGAAGAAATTCAAAATGCTGTACAGAAGAGTATTAATTAATTTGTTACACCAACAATTAATGAGTTAAAACCAAAGATCGATAATATTTCTACTTCAGTACAATCCGGTCTTAAAAAATCATATGCGACTGCTGCCTCTGGTTCTACTGCCCCTACTTTTGTTATTAAACCAGTGAATAAA